ACAACCATTGAACTTTTTTTGTGCTGTATCAGGAACATCAGTTGCTAATGTATTTCCTTCCTCTTCATCATCGGTATTATTTGGTGATAATTGTTCTTCATTATTTAATACATTCGAAACATCATTTTCATCAGAACAATTTTCTTCATCAGAATCTTCATCGGAACTATTATTATCAACTGTATAGTCGATAATCTTTGATAATGATTTATTTAAAATTGTTTTTGTAAATGTATTTAAACCTGATAATGTATAGATATTTTTTTTTCTCCAAAAATTGAGTCATATTAACCATTGCAACATACTTTTGAGCTGCTTCAAATGCATTTTTGATAATAATTTCTATATCATTTTCAGTCAAATTCAATTCATTAACATGTCCTATTGAATAATTAATTGTATCTTTATGATTTTTATGGTGTTGTGGAAAATAAAACTGATAATCTCCTATTTGTCCACCACGATTTTTAATTGAATTGATTATTGATATTTTTTCGCATCTTTTTAAAAATGATTTTACACTAAAATTTGTATTTGATGAAAATGTACCTGATAATGAACGTGCAATTCGAAAAGTATTCTCACATATCTGTGAGTTGAAAGTAAACGTATTAAGTGCATCAATAGGTAATTTGTTATTAATAACTAGAAGAATTATAAAAAGTAAAGAATGAGCATTTATTTCGATGCACCAAAAAGTTGGCTTGGTTATAAAAGTATTTTTTTTTAAGATCTGATAGTGTTGCTGAACTATTACGATTATCTTTTAATTCCAAATACTGTATCCATGAAAACCAAAACCTACAAGTAAAAACAACCGTCCATACATGAAGTAATCGTTCTTGGATTGTTGTTGATCTCTCAATAAATCCGATGATAATTAACCGTAGCAAAGATAAGTATACATATGTTCCTGTAGCTTTTTCATTTTTCTTTAATAAGTTTAAAACATTTTCAGAAGATATTCTTAAGCATGGTGTGAAGTTCTGACGATCTTTTGGATCAACATCACATTTAATTAAATTGTGTTCAACTTTACTTTCTAATTCAATTAAATCAAATACATCTTGAATATCAACTGAATAAGATCCAATCTTCATTTTTGCTGTTTTAGAAAGCAACCTATTTCGAAATTTGGTGGCAATGTGAATGCCATCTTGCATAAAAAAAAGAATTTGTTTTTCTTCCATAAAAAACCAAGACCATTGTTTTGGTATTTTCACATGATATGGATCATTATGTTTAAATATATTGAAGTTTGGTAATGTTGCAAAAAAAGCGTGAACATAATCTCATTGCTCGAAGATAACGTGCATCAGCATCAGAACTAAAACCTATAACATGTACGCCTTGAATTAAACACTGATCATGAATAAATAACCATCTTCTTAAGATTTCAATTGCTTTTGCTTTATTGTTTGATCCGTAAGCTGATAAAATGAATGGTGGAGCTGATAATGTTAAAGATTTTAACATGTATAAATTAATAAATTTAGCTTTATCTATATCATTAAACCATAATTCTAATTGCTCAAAATTTTCCGTCTGGAAAAAATTCGATTGTGGTACTCCATTCACTAAAGGTGCAGAAAAGCCAATAAATGAATTCAATGTTGCCTCATAGTCTATACGAGATATTGAACTAGTAGCATCTTCAGCTACAAATAGATAATTACATTTATTAGATTCTACATAATCTTGTAATAGTTGAAATCTAAATTTCCCTTCCATTATTTTTATATTTTGATTCCTTATCAATGATTCTAT